CAGGGACACCACCAAGTCATTGGTTCAGGTATGTTGACGACACCTGGGTTAAAATTGGGGAGCGGCTCAAGATGGCAGCGTGAGAAGCTTTAATTTGTTGAGCTCTCCGCACCAAAACGCAATATAACCACCCCTTTTTTTTTTTTTAGCAATTTTAACTAAGTTAAACCTACAGTTAAGCCTCCCTTGATCATTTGAGATGCCTAAGTCTGCTAGAAAGAGCGACATCAGCCATGAAAAAGAAAACCATGCTAGCTTCTCGGCTAACGATCGCATGGCAGATGGAACCATGCATCCACCAAATGAAGAATTCCCACTGCTGCCTGTCACCCCCAGTAAGCCCCCTCCTCCTAAGAAACCTGCTCAGTTTAGTCTCCATGACAGAAAATGTGCATATCCCAGATAATGCTGTTTGCACACTAGCTGATTTGATCAACTCAAGAAGCGACGCGCTTGAGAGAATGGTGGATGGTATTCACACTGATATCAAATTAATGAATGAAAAATGACTCTCATGGAAAAGCGGGTGGAGAAAAATGAGAATTCGGCTCAAAAATGCCTTGCTCCCATTGCTGACCTGGAAAGCTATGAAAGACGGTGGAATCTGCAACGCAGGGATTACCAGAAACCGAAAGGGAAGACGTACGAGCTGAAGTCGTTAAAACATGTTAACAAATACCATCTGAGAGAGAGAAACTTCCTGACGCCATAAATGTGGCCCATCAAACAGGAAGAAGGAGTCCTGACAACCCAAAGCCCTGCAGCATCATCATCAGGTTCGTCTCCCAGCTGTGGAAAGCAGCGAAGAACAGTGCTGTCCTGCAGTCGAAGGGTCTGCGCTTCAAAGAGGGCCTGACCATAGAAGAAAGCAACAACAGACAAAAACTTTGGCCCGAGATTAAAAGAGCACGAGTCGAGGGGAAGACGGCCTACTTCATGGGAGGAAGAGGCTTCATTACCGGCTAAGAATTACATCGTTAGGTGGAGAGAATGGTTTTAGCCTAAAGAAGAAGAGCAACAGGACTCGGCTCTAGATGCTCTCAGGTTCATTTTATTCTCAGGTTTGTTCACTTCTGTTCGAATTTAATGGCCACACGTTATGTCAAAATAATAACTTTATTTCAGTTTATAATGCTTTGAGTTAATAACGACAGAAAAAATAAGGAACTTTTATATTATGGGCAAAATGATAAGAGGTTCATTTTACATTATTGCCTAATTATCCTGCGTGGCTCTTATAAGGTATGTTGGTGCCGCTCTCGACGTTGCCCAGTTAATTTACTCTTGGTTTACTTTAAATACTATTTGTTTACTTCTGTTTGAATCTGTTGAATCTATCCTTTCTTTCTTTAAATGCTAGGGGTTTGCAAAACAATATTAAGCGTAAAGCTTTATTCCTTTTTGCAAAATGGATTTTGTCTTTTTACAAGAATCCCACTCTGTGCCAAATGATGCCAACTTCTGGAAATCTCAATGGGACAACTCTGTGTGGCTCTCCCATGGTCCTGAACGCTCAGCTGGGGTCACTACATTAAAGAACAGGCTTAGTGGGGACGTTCTATGTACTGAGTGTGACCCTAATGGTCACTTTATCTGCCAAACTATTAGACATAATGACAGAGTTTACATAACATGTAACATATATGGATTCAGTACAAAACAGGAAATTATTATGTCAGTAGAGGATGTACTACTACGTTGGCTATCTAAATTCCCAAACTCTATTTTACTGCTAGAAGTTGACTTTAATATTATTTTTAATAGCTCCATGGATAAATGGCCTTCGGGCTCATCTAATAGAACAAACATGAGTCTTAATGCATTCATGAATAAATTGAACCTTGAAGATATATGGCGAGTAAAATTTCTTAAGACATTTACATGGAGCAATAAAACAGGGTCTAGTCAGTCAAGAATTGATTTTTGGCTGATTTCTAAGGGTTTTAAAGAAAATGACATTGTGGTGATCATAAGGCTATTTATATCAATATAATACTATCTACTCCTCAATTCAGTGCTACACAATCAGCATATTGGAAACGTAACAGCTCTTTACTAACAAATGAGGAAATAAAAAGAGAAGTGATGTGCTTACTTTCACACTGTACAGTAGGTCAAAGGCTGAAAAAGAGGGACGATTTGGTGTCAACTTAGTTTTGGACATTTGTTATGATTGTAACCATGACAACAAGATGGTTTTCTACAACAAGGAGCAGCTCATTAACATCTCAAAAGCTCAAATAATATCTAAACTACAGCCCCAAAATGTAAATTAATTGAAAAGGTGGTGCTGTGGATGCATTCCCATCTACCTGCCAGCTGTGCTCAAGTGCCTGACCACTGAGATCCTGGAACTGGCAGGAAACACGGCTCGTGACAGCAGAAGGACCGGGATCATCCCATGGCCAGCTGTCCGTGGTGATGAGGAGCTCGTCAGGCTGCTGTGAGGAGTGGCCGTCGCTCTGGGAGGAGTTCTGCCCAGCATTCGAGCGGTCCTGCAGCCCAGGGGAACCGAGAGGCCAGTTGAGTCTGGGTGGATAGATCGGATGTCATCTGCGGCCAGTTTCTTCTGATCCACTGTGGGGCGGACCTTCCTGCCTGCAGCCATCAATATCTATAACATATTTTAATGAAATGAGGATAATGAGTTACATTTAATTTCCCTTTGGGATTAATAAAGTATTTTTGAATTGAATTGAATTGAACTGGGAACTTCTGAAGTTTGAGCTTGGCTCATTTTTTAGAAAGTTTAGCAGTGATTTAGTTAAATCTAGGAAACAGCTAGAACTGAATGTGGTGTCAAGGATAACTGCTTTATCTAGTAAAACTCCAGATACATTATCAGAGGAAGAAAAGATAGAACTCTCAAATTCACAGATTAAATTAGATTAAGTGTAAAACCAGAAAGTCAGAGGTGCTTTTGTCAGGTCCAGAGCAAGATGGCTAGAGGAAGGAGAACAAAATTCACACTTCTTTTTTAACTTGGAAAAGCATCATGCCATTATTAATAATGTGACTAAATTGAATGTGAATGGAACAATAACAAATGATTATAAAACTATATCTGGACTCTGCAGTCAATTCGTTGTAGAGTTATATATCTCCAAATTCTGTCAGAGATCAGCCGATGCCTTTCTGAACTCATTAACAGTAAAAACCATTGCCGAAGATGAGGTGAAGCTGTGTGATAGTCTTCTTACACTGGAGGAGATTAACGAGGAGATTAATCTACTTAAAAATAACAAATCACCTGGCACTGACGGACTGGTTTCAGAATTTTACAAATCTTTTTCAGAAGAACTAGCCCCCTTTCTTCTCTTGGTCTTTTTTGAATGTATAGAAAAAGAACAACTTCCTACAGCCATGACTCAAGGCTTAACAACATTAATTCCCAAATACAATAAAGACACTTTCTTAATTGATAACTGATGGCCATTATCACTACTTAATAATGATTATAAAATATTTGCATCAATCCTTGCTAGAAGACTGAAAAAAGTTTTGAATTCAATAATTGAAGATACTCAGTCTGGATGTATGTCCAAAAGACACATTAACAACGTTATATTAGTTATGGATATTTTGGACTACTCAGATATTTTAGATGTTGATGGTTATATTTTGTTCTTAGATTTCTATAAGGCCTTCGATACAGTCGAGCACCAGTTCGTCCTACAATCATTACATAAATTTGGCTTTGGCAACTTCTTTTCCTCTGCTATAAATACACTCTATAAGAACTGTAGTAGCTCTATTAAACTGCCAGGTGGCACGTCACCCAGATCCGATGTCTCCAGGGGAATAAGACAGGGCTGCCCTGCTTCTCCACACCTCTTTTTGCTAGTGGCATAACTTATGGCATCTCATATTCAAAACAGTGTTGTAGAATCTCTCTCCTTGTCTAATAAGCTCATTTTAACACAACTAGCAGATGACACAACACTTTTTTTGAAAAACGAAAGCCAAATTTCTGTGAGCTCTCAAGAGCATCTGGTTTATCCCTCAATATTAAGAAATGTGAGATTGTGCCTATTAAAAACTGCACTAAATCTGAGCTGTGTACCATCCCTGTAAAAGAGGAAGTTTGTTATATGTGTTTTAGTAACAAAAGATCAAAATAGAAGGAGCACCTCAAACTTTAACCCAATCATACACAAAACACAAAATAAATTCAACCAATGGCTCCTACGAGATTTATCTTTGAAAGAAAGAATTTTAACAGGTTTATATACAGGGGTATATTGACAGGTACAAAAGTAATAGTATACAAGTATAGAAAAGAACAATATAATTACAAAATGGTACAAAAGGTAAAAAAAA